AAGGGGTGAGATCTGATATATTTCATCTTCACACCAGATCTTGTGTTAAAAGAACTTTTGGAATGAGTGAAATTTGGAGTAATCGGATAATCCTGGTTATTCAAAATTTTGACCCTTTGTGGAGGAGGTACCAACAGGATTGGTCTGAAATGTTCCATCTTCACACCAGGTTTTGGTTTAGTCAAAATATTGGGATGTGCCAAGTTTGAAAATAATCGGATGATCATTTCGCGTTTTATGAGCTTCACATTTATTTAAAAATTTAACTCTTGCGGGGGAGGTACCAGAAGGATTGGACCGATATGTTCCCTCTTTACATCAGGTCTTGAGTTAGTAGAAATATTCGGATGTGTGAAATTTGAAGGGAATCGGACGCGTACTTCGCTTACTTTTGAATAGTTTTGGTTATTTAAAACTTTGACCCTTTGTTGGGGAGGTACCAGAAGAAATGGTCTGATCTCTACCATCTTTATAAAAGATCCTGTGCTGTTGGATATTTTGAGATGTACCAAGTCTTAATGGAATTGGATGTTAATTTCGTGTTTTATGAGCTTCATGGGTTCTCAAAATTTTAACCCTTTGGGGGGGGGGGGTGGGAGGTATCGGATGTAGTCGACCGGTACATCCCATCTTCTCACCAAACCTTGGGTTAGTAAAAATATTGTGATGTGTGTAATTTGAAGACAGACGGACTCTTCCATCACATTTATAAGAGTTATAATTATTCAACATTTTGACCCTTTGTGGGGGAGGTACTTTATTAAGTGTACTGATATTGTCCATTTTCGCACCTGACCTAGCACTGATGCAAATATTAGAATTTGCAAAGTTGGTGCAACATCGGATTAACTTTTCGCTTTCGGTGCAATAAATTATTTTCTTTGAGAATGTTGACATTTTGACTCGATCTAAGTTTGACATCGGATATTCCCTTCTAGAGTGGCAAACGAACGGAGCGACGGACATCGCTAGATCAACACCAAATGTCCTAAAACGAATTTGATCCAAAGGGTCTAAAACCGTTATTTCAACTAAGCACGTTTTGCCGTATCAAACGATTGATTGATCCAGTTCAAATGGAAAGATAAACGGGCTGTCCTATACCAACATTTTTATACCAGTGGGTACTTATGTCATATAGGTCCACGCCTTTGTATAGCCCACATATAACAGTACCTGCCTTTATTCGGTATTTTGATGATATTAGCGACATTATTCACCGGAATTGTTTCATATTTCGTATTTAAAATTCGGAATCGGAATTAATGATCTTGACAAAAAATTACTTGTTCGATGATTTTTTTTAATTTTTCAAGTTAGATCGGTGGAGGTTTTTAAAAGTTCGGCCCGGCCTTACTTAGGTGTGTTTTTTTACTTGCTTGAATATCAATACTTTAGGTATTATTTCCATATTTTTCATTTAAATTAAATTAAAGCTATATCATATGCAACCGAATATTGTCCAAAGAAGACGTCTAATGTAAGCTATGTGGGAAATAGAAACATAAAGGTGTTGCCATTCCATTTAATCACCTCATGGGAATCAAAATATTTACACTTGTCATACATCTTAATACCACCTGTCGAGCTTAGGCTCCACAAACAATTTAATGCATCTTCCAATACAAAAATAGCAACCAAAACAGATTAATTTGGTGTATTTTTCAACTCAGCTTTATTTTTTTCCTCCTATTAGTTCCCTCCGCATTATTCTATTTTTTTTGTGTTCTTGAATAACTTCATTTGTGTGGGGTTTAATTGAATTTTTACACCAATGTTATGCTCACTCACAACAATTTCGTTGGTGGTTTTAAGCATTTAAGTAGCTTTAAACAAAGCTGATATGTGTAGGCCTAAGGCTGAATGAACTGCTTTTGTGTGAAAACGAATTAATGTGTAACAATTAGCCGTTTGTCTGATTTCCATTAGAAAACTGATTCAGATAATGGAACTATATTTTGGAATTAGTTTTAAGTGCATTTCAAAATTCACAATTGATAAGGTCTTATAAAACAAATTTCCATAAGAAAAATAAGTAAATAAATATACTTATTTATATTCATATGTGCATTGTGAAGTGGAGAATAACTTATAAAAAGTAGGTTTGCTTTGACGGAACAGAATAGTCGTTAACCTACGCTATTACGTCGGAACAGAAACCTAGTTCAAAGCAAAAAAAGACAAAAAAGTAAAAAGGATCGAACTTTTAATACCCTCTACCATTAGGTAAAGAAAATATCAGTAAGATCGGTAGAAGAATGCAGTTTAAGTTTGCAATAAAGTGGCTTGAGGGCCATACCAAATCGGGAACCTTTATAGACAATGTTATACATACTACAACAATTGTTATCAATTACGAGAATTATATACAAAAATTCGTGGATAAATGTGACTAGGATTATCAGAATAGAAAATATTGGTGGGTACCGTTATATGGAAACCGTTGATCAATATGAAAAATGTTTCGACACCAGTTGTAGAACCCATTATGAACTACAAATACCAAATGTTACACAAATCTATTAGAAAATGTGACTTAAATCATCAAAATACCGAATATCCGAAGGTATCGTTACATGTGCGCTATAGGATAACGTGGACTTATATATTCAATGTTCAGCCACTGGAGCTAGAACCAGTTACGAACTGAGAATTCTCATTTTCAGACAAATCCGCGGAGAAATATGGGAAAAATCATCATAATACCGAATATCGGGAAGAACCGTTATCTGGAGACTATACCAAAACGTGTACCGATATACTTCATTATCAATACCAATCATCCTAGATACGATACAAACTACTGTGCCTACGTCAAATAATGTGGGCTGTATCATGATTTCAACAGACAGACACACGGTCAACCGATAGAACTAATAAATGGGAGGCATATCCAACTCTGAATCAAGGCAAGGCTTAAAATCAAATTTGACAGAGGTATTTCTGCCTTTCACACCAAATAACATTGCTATAACATGCATTTTATGACTTTGGCAAGGCTTAAAATAAAATATATATTAAAGCTATAAATATATGGGAACCCAGTCTCAAAAAATGGTTGAATGGGCAAAAATCCTCCAATTTGGACTCATATTACATTTACATATCTGGTACCAAATACAATGTACAACAGCTTCTGATAGCCACGATTTACGGTCAAATTGACAACATTTTGGTTTTTGGGAAGGAAAACTACTGGCAAGAATTCGTAAAGGCCCACTGTTCGGTATAGCCCTTAGATAATGGTAGCTTCCGATATTCGGTGCACTGTGCTTTTGTTGGAAACGAAGCAGTTACATTTGATGATCTCCAGAGAATCACATTTTGAGTCGATTTATGTTTGTCTCTTCATCCGTCTGTTCATATACTCAAAGTAGCTTATCCCAGAACAACCTAAAAAACATTTTTTAGCCAAATCAGGAGGTACCTTTTTATGGGCATTATTCCGGAACATTGACCTACATAGACCAATTTTCTGCAAATAGATTTTCTACCCCATAAGAAACTAAAAGAATAAATAAAATACTGAATCTACATAGACTTCTTGTCAGCTGGGGTTTGGTCCTGTTGCAACCTTCGGAATATCAAAAATCAGGAGATACTCGTTATTCAGGATTTTTGGACGATATAATCCAGATTTTGTACCAAATCCAAAAATTTTAAATTTTAACATGAAAATCGGCTTATGTAATTATGTATGTATGTCAGCCCAATATTTATAGGGTTAGCAAGCGGAATAATGAAATTAGCAAGTTACTATGGATCAAATTTTCTCACTCTCAAATTTTTGTAATTTTTCACCCATTTGTTATTTTAACGTTGCGCGATTCTACGGTTGCCATTGATGTGCAGTAGAATTATGGAGAGTGTAATTGTCTATATCCTACCAACACTTCCAATTGATATTATATATTGAAACTCCTCTTAATCTCGCAATATTTAAAAAAGTGTTTCATGTTTTTAAATATCCCACATTTTCAAACTAAATTGGCTCCATTTTCAAATATTAAGTTCTCAAGGCTTCTTCCTAATTACACCTTCTAAACCAAATTGCCTATAAAGGTGAAAAAAGTTAATCAAGGTCCAGATTTTCCATATGACACTTTTGAAGTTCCTACCACCTATTTTTAATCAAACAATACACAGAATAAATGTCAATTTTGATTATTTATATTGGATACCTTCTGGATCCTAGAGACATTTGTTATTGTCACGAGTATCTCATAATTTTGGATATTTTAAAGTTTCAGTCTCAAATTTTTGGGATATTTTAAAGTTCACAGTCACAACTTGTAATCGACGCCGTCAACATTCTATGTGGTTAATGTTTTACCTGCAACGAATTTGTGAATTTATCCTACCCTAATTTTTTTAAGTTTTCAGCTTTATTTCTGCCTGCAGCTTTCTTTGTCGAAAAGGGAAAGTAGTTCCAAATGACCCTAATTTATAGCCATCATTTCGAACATCATTCAGCAGAATTAATTTCCCAAATAATATGATATTGCTATATCTATGATACTTCTGAAATCAAAACTTTAAATTTATTTTTCCTTGTAGCAACATTGAATGTTCTACAATTTTATCCCGAACATTCGATTCCCATTACTTAAACATTGTATCTCAATAAATCCCTCAACATGTTTACCATTTACTTTAATATGTTGCCAGCAACAAATGCTCACCAGCAACATTCTGTCCTCACAAACATGAAATTCACCACAAATGCATTTACTTGTTTTGTTCGATTCGTTGTTTTGATGTTTTTGTATTTTTGGGGGACTCTCACATGCCGCTGCTCTGTTTGTCGAGTCAGTCGTTGTGGTGCTAATGCAACAAGAAGGTTGTGTGGAGCGGTCGTTAAACGAGAAAAAGAAAACCACAAATAACGAAAGTGTGTGTGTGCGTGATGTTAAGCGAAATGCGTGAGTAAAGCGGTGGGAAAAACTGAGTTGATGTTAATGCTCCGTGAAAAAGAAAACCGTGGTGAATTTCAAACAACTTCCTTCCGTTTTAATAGTATTTTTTTGGTTATTTCCTCGAAGAGAGTACGCGCATTGTAACTAAAGGAATTTCAATTATTTATACCACTCTCGTGGTGGGTATTTCTTGCTCTCCCTCTCTTGCCAACCATTCTCTCATCTCTCAGTGGTCGTTGTATAGTTTTGCAATACAGGTTAATCGTAAATTAGCCTTTCGTGTGCATTGTAACCAACCATCGCGACTTCGTGTGTCGGAGAGCTTTGTACGAAAGTGCGTGAGTAAGAAACGTTAGTTTTCAAGTGATGTTAAACGAGTTAACATGTGTTTTGCGTAGAAACCGGTCATCGGTAATGAGAAGGTTCAATTGATTGTTTAAATATTTAATAACAAATTGTAAAAAAGGGAAATTAAGAAAAAAAAAAAATATATTAAGTGAGTGAGTGAAATTGTTGAAATTAAATTGGAAAATTTGTGAAAAAATATTTACGATTGCAAAAATTTTGTTCAAAACACTCACTGCCCCTCATACTCTCCGCTCCGTTCCGGTTTTTATGTGTGATTATCTCATTCAAGGATATCGGTAATCGGTAAAGCGTTTGTGTGTGTGTGTGGGTTGTCGGTCATTCCCATTAAACCAATCAAAATAAAACAATAGTTCTGTGACAATAACCGGAGTCAAACAATAACGATTATCATCCTTTGCACAAAAATAATTGGACACCACATTGTCCATGTTTTGGGGTTTTGTTTCACAATAACCTGCTCTGTGAGCATTTAAAGGGCCATTAAGTTCTGCTGGTGCGGTGTCAGTGTCATAAAGAACCAAACAAATAAAAGTGAATTCATAAAAAAGAGTGCTACTTCAAAAAAAATACGAAAATAGTAAATTCATACTTCAAGTGTGTGGGGTGTAAACGCCATCGAATTTTCGCAGTAATAAAATCGTGGTGCAGTGATGATCTAAGAGCCCCAAAAGTAAAGGAAACAATTCACAACATTCAACTTTGGTCCATTGTATTATTCATTCATTCCCCGTTGCTTCAACTTACTCCCCCCCTTTTGGTCTACTATTGGTGTTACTGCATACAAAGGATTATCTCATGTTTATTTAAGGATATAACAACGACAACAGGCAACAACAATTGCTAAATTCATGCTAATGTCCAAGTAAGTTCGACACAAACCCTTACTCCCTTCAACTTTACCTTATTTGTTCCTATGTCCTTTTTTTCTCTCTACTTCTTCTTCTAATTCTTCTTAGAATGACAATAAAACAGCTATTTAAATATTTATGAAATTTATTTCCAAGTTATAAGTGATTTCTATTTGATTGTATTTGGAATCTCTGGAGATAATAGAAAGGAAAACACTTAGTGAGAAACATGTGTGCTTTTCCCCGTTACTCCTTCCTATTCGGGTTGTCAGCTATGTTGGTTATTACAATACAATGTAATGGGGGGAATTACAATATACTATTTTGGAAAATATGGTCGATCGAAATATTAAAGGAAGACGGATTTAATATTTTCTGATACCAGGGGGTAAGGCAGGGAATACCTAGCTTTCGGAAAGAGCCACCAATCCTCATCAGTTCCCTTGTTTTTTGTCTGGGATATTCTCCCCAGAAGTTATTTTAAAAATAACTTCAATGACAAAAAACATTTCTTTTACCCAAGTGACGAGATCGTAAGCTCAATAGAAGAGGAACTAAAGAAAAAACAAGGGAACTGATGAGGATTGGTGGCTCTTTCCGAAACCTAGGTATTCCCTGCCTAACCCCGTGGTAAACATTACCATCGTTCTCCATTAATAAATAACCGTTGTTTTTATAAAAACAACAATAAAGGGATAAAGCCTGACCGTTTTGCAACAACAAAATTGTTAATTTTATATTTTTGTAGAACAGGAAGACCTGGATTTTCTATATCTTAGGCTGCACACTTTCAATTATTCTATATCTAACGATGGTCGACTCTCAAACACTAATTTTTTTAATTTATGTTTTCGAAAAGGCAATTCTCATTTTTTCGTTATAAAAAAGTGACCTCCCTAATTTCGGAGTTTTATGGTTTCAATCCCATTCTACGACGAATTGCCTAGTGTAGGATATTTCGAGTCCCTCGTGAAAATAAGCTGTCCCCATAAATTTGATTTAACATCAATAGAATAAACTTTCTGATACGATCAATCCGAATGCCGGAAACATTTTGCAAGAGAGTGTTTCGCTTGGAAATAAGCCAATAAAAACAAATAACATTTATCTCGGTTAGAACATTTTGCTAGACCCGTCTATAATTGTTGGACAGTTACACCCACTTTTCGACCTGCAGTGAATGTAACTCGATTCTATGGAATCTAAATGGGTGAAAACCCTCTGGCAAAGTTCTTTCACATTATTTTCATGTATTGCAATAAGCCACTTATAGCCTTCAATTAGTGGTATTTAATTACCATCTACCTCTTGGCATTGTATCAGACTATTTTGCAAAAATATTTAATATTGCCACAGGTTTAAGCATGGACCGCATTAACGGCAACCCCTGATAGAAGCTACGGGTTCAAATACAATCTTCCATCGATTTTTCTGCAATATTTAAGGAACATATCATTCCAACCATGGTAAACAGAAAGAAGTACAAAAAATGCAGCCAGATCATGCAGGCCCTCCTTAAATTAGATGAACATGACGTAAGGAGTTTATATTGGAAGGAGAACTCAAAATGCCAAATTGAAGGTAATTCGGTTAGAAATTGTGCTAAAACCCTTAAAATACACCAAGAAATTCTACTCTCTACTCTCTAAGGCAATGCAAATTGTGGACCTACATTCGAAGTTCAATATACACTGAACAATAAATTTTCTTGCCAATATAAATTTCGTCCACTTGAGACTCTGAATGTAAAATCATAGCTGATTTGGTTAAAAATAGCAGCTGGTGCCCTTGAATTATCAAGAATTAGTTACTATTATATGGTGGCCAAATTATATACTTCCTGGGGTTTAGACGATTATTCTAAGGGGTTGCAAAAATAATGGTAATCCTAATGTTTTTGGGTTCTGAATTTAGCAGAACAATTTGTATTGTGTGAATTTGGATGGTTGGTATTGAAATGATATATGATATATTGGTCCACGTTTTGGTATAGTCCCCATAAAACAGTACCTTTCGATATTCCGTAATTTGTTGATTTTTGCCACATTTTCCGTGTATTTTTCTAAAAATTGGTATTTGTGGGTCTTATGGCGAAACATTGTATGTATACGAAACATTGTATGTACACGTTTTTGTATAGCCTCATATATGGGTTCTAGCTTGCATGGCGAAACATCGTTTGCATAGGCCCACGTTTCGGTATAGCCCCCATATTACGATACCTCCCGATATTCAGTGTTTTGATGATTTTTGCACATTTTTTTATCGGATTTTTCCAGAAATTGGTATTTGTAGTTCGAAACATTGTATGTGTAGGTCCACTTTGTGGTATAGCCCCTATTTAAAGATATCTGGCAATATTCGATATTTTAATAAAAATTGGTATTTTTAGTTCACAATGGGTTCTAGCCAAGTGGCAGAACATTGAATATTTAGTTCCACGTTTTCCTATAGCGCACATATAACGATACCCACCGATATTCGATATTTTGATAATCCTAGTCCCATTTACCCTCATAATTGTTTAAAATTTGGTATTTTAGAAGACTTGGTAGATGACAATCCTTGAAGTATAAAATTGCCTATAGAGGTTCCCGTTTTGTTATGGCCCCATATAACGGTCATTCAGATACTTTTATATAAAAATGTTTCCTTTACCATAAGGTGGAAGGTATTAAAAGTTCGGCAATGGAGAGTTGATATGCAATGGAAATAGCGATTTTATTCTTTGGTGACTGAAATTTGAAGAATAATATGTTTTACCTTTGACGCCATCCTTCTAAAATTATACTTTGTTGTAGAATTTTGCCTAAATTTACAAAAAGTACGGTGTTGGTAAGATGTAGACTTTTGCTTTATTCTAGGACCGATAGTGGAATTGTACGACAAATAATATTGTGGTGTATTTTGATTTGCTACGATGTCGCTTAAATGGAGTTTTAATCATATTTTGAAAAAGACCAAATACACCCCTTTGCTGAATCGCTTGAACATCAGTAATATTGTCGACCTAAAATGCATGAATTCCAAAGAATCTTAATCCGAAATTTGCAAAAAAAAGTGCAATAACGGGAACTTGTTTCCTCTATTTTGCTGAGGATACACTGATACGCATGTCTTCAAGATTTAGCTCTTATTTCATACTCTTTTGTGTTTTCCTGTAACTTTAACACTGACTGTAACATTAAACCCTAACAAATTATATAAAAACGTTGCTTTTTTAAAGCAAATGGGATCAGTCTGACTTGTTTCTGTTTCAAAATCAACAATTTAAATGTGTGTTTCATATATTTCGATCTTAGATCTCGAACTCTGCTGTAAAATATATCCGGTCCTTCATCTTCAGTGGTTGTTAAAAGTGGGAACCACTATCACTGGTTGTTAAAAGTGGGAACCACTATCCTACTACCCTTACCAAAACTCGAAACTTCCCAACACCCTCACACAGTGACCCCAAACGTCATATCCCGTTCTGTAATCAATCCCAACGGACATGTTTCCGTTTAACAAAACTCGCCATTGTTTTGTTTTATTGTAGCGAAACTTCAGTTATGTTCAAGTCACATTATGTTGAGCTGCTGTAGTTGTGTTTTTCTTTCAATCCCCCCAGTGCAAGTTGATTTTCACAAATTTAATTGAAAAACTTTGTTTTTTCAGCAACACGATCTAAACACTCACACCCCGACACACACTCACATAAACACAACCCAAAGCACCTATTTTTGTTTTATTACTAATTGAAATGTTGGTGTTGTTGACGTTGTTAATGTTTTGATGGTAAAGTTTGAAACATATACATACATATATATGACATATGTATGCGGTTATGTGAAAGGTTAAAGCTTTAACATTTTTTGATTGCAATTCTCAGAATTCTATATGTAATTGTATTCAGATAAGCTAATGAATCAATTTGGAATCCTTTTACAGATCGAGCTGGGATTAAAGGCTACTAGAAGGACTTCTCTATAAAGATGACCTTCGAATTGTTATTTTTGAGCAGATCACTGATCGGCTATTTAAAAATGGCCTTAAAAGGGTGTCCATATATTGGAAAATGGGCATGCAAAAAATAATTTCGATACCATTTCGAAGGGTCCACCTAGCAAGAAATAAATTTTTTGTTCTAAAATATACAAATAAAGGCAGAAAAATAGCTATTTAGAGGGGGTCCTGGTAAGAGAAATATTATCAAACTCAGTTATGTTGGAAACGTAAACAGACGTTGAGCATTTTTTGGAGAAAGATTCTTATCTCACTCAGAATATAATTTCCCGGTTGCCGTGGGCATTAGTGATAATAATATTGTAAACATCAACATCGGCAATGGTTCAAACTTAAACCAGCAGAGAAAGTCAAAAAGTCGGGGGCCAACTTTATGATACCCTGCACCCCTTCCCAATACATATATATATATATATGGGAGCTATAGCTATATCTGAACCGATTTTCACCAAACTTGATATACTTGTTTCTATGCTCAACTTGGTGGTAGGTGTCAAATTTCCTCCCATTTGGGCTAATAGTACACGTTTAGTGCACAATAAAAGGCAAATCGGACGAATACATATGGGAGATAAAAAACTGCAACAAAGCCAAACGCCATAATTTTTACATTTTTTTTTTTTAATTTTATTGAATGAAAGCAAAAAATGTCGAAAATAGCATTAAATTTTAGAATAAGTTTAGATTCGTTCGAATTGGTCGCCTTTGACACGAATTATGGCCTTCAAACGGCCAATGAAACCATCACACGCGGCCCGAATGTTGCACTGTGGTATTTTGACCCATTCCCGGTGATGTGGTTGCTTGAGTTGATCGACACTATAATATTTTTTGGTGCCAACCTTGCTTTCCAAAATACTCCAGACCCTATAGTCCAACGGATTGTTATCCGGAGATTTTGGTGGCCAATCTGCGATGGAAATTAAGTGAGGAACCTCTTTTTGTAAACATTCTTGGGTGGCGCGTGCTGAGTGCGATGGTGCTGAGTCCTGTTGTACAAGGTATGCTT